CCCTTGGCGCCGAGCGCGGCACCGCGGACCCTCCGAGCACCCCCGAGATGCAGGGACAGGGTATCTCGGTGTTTCTTCCTCCCCTGCTCCGCGGTGCCGGGAGGCAGCGCTTCCACCGACCCACCTGCGGCGACTGCCGCGCTCCTGCCCGTTGGTGCTGGCTCAGCGTCCGTTGCAACCTATTTGTGGCTCCTTCCCCCTACACCACCCTTTCTATGTTTCATTGCTAGGAAACGCTGGGAATTTCACTCTCCCTCCCACAACGGCGTCACTGAAAGATCTAGGTCTGGTCCCACCACAAGTTTGGCCCACCACGAGTAGTGTCTGTGCTGTCCACAGCCTTTCCCTTCTTCCCACCTCCCCACCCCCTTCCCCGGCATTTGTGCCCAGTTAGAGCAGCCCCATCCCCGAGGCCTCTCCCTGCACCATGCCTGGCTACTCACCCAAGCGAGGGCTTTTCCTCTTCTTTCAGATGCTCCTTCCAGCTCCCTCAGCCTTGCAGCTGAGAGGAGAACAGGGCCCAGCCCTACTCCACCTCTGCAAAGAAGCCATGCTGAAAGCTGTCCAACTTCTGTCTTCAGCTCTTGGTTCGGCTCCTCGGCAGGCGGCATTTTCCACATCCGTACTAACACACGGTTATCCAAATATCTTTCAACTCCTCCTGCTGCTGCTTCTAAAGGACACAAGGTGCAAGATCCTGGAGCCCCACTTGAGCTTCTTCTCTGTGCTTGAGCAGCAGGTGTTGTAGTCCAAGTCCTTGAACCCACACACACACAGCTAGAACAAGGAAGCAATGGGGTGTGCTCACCTTATCACTGGTGGCTATGGGAGGCGGGCAATGGGTCACCCCGACACCAGCCCTGGAGGGTCTCGTATCCTTACAAGGGGTATGTGGGCAAGTCTGGAGCCCATTCCCCTGCCAAAGCTGTGATACACACAGGCAGGATTTGGAGGGCCAAAAAGCACCTCAGAGAGGGACATTTTTGACAGCAGATGGATTTCTATCATGGCAGGGCAGGGCAGGGCAAGGTCCA